CGAAGAAATGGATGGAAGCTCATAGGAGGGAGACTCAACCTGGAACTAAGGAGAAATTTCCTGACAGTGAAAACAATCAATTACTGCTTTCTCCTGGAGTTGTGAGTGCTCCATCATTGAAAGTTTTCAAGAAAAGATTGGACAATCATTTGCCTGGGATTCCTGCCTTGGGTAGCGTGGTTGAAGTAGAAGGCCTCCAAGGCCCCTTCCAGACCTATGTTTCTATTATTTTATAAGGAGATCCAGTTGGCAATATTTATCTTGTACAGAAGTTCCCATTCTTGAGATAAAGATGGCTTGCAATTCACATTTTATGGCTTAGCATAAAGTCTCAATCCATCTATTCAAGTCTTAATCAATAAATCCTTGGTGTGTGTCTTTGAAGTGAGAATTCAAGTTATTCTGAATTTATTGGACTCTTCAAAAAATGTTATCCGAAAGATAAGACTGTCGATTTTCTCTGTTGGCATTGTAAGAAATGTGAAATTACAGCAACTCACATGATTAGGTCATGTCTGCATTTGGCTTCTTTTTAGAAGAATATTGTAACATCTAGAAATGGATCTATGGGAAAAGGTTATCATGCTAAAGATGTCAATGCTATTTTGAATTATACTCCAAAATTGTACAAGCTGACTTTTTTTGAGTAATGTCGGTTATAATCAAGCCTGAGTAATAACCAAGAGAATTATACTGAGATATTGGAAAAGATCTATTATTCTGAATATCAAAGACTGAATTCAAGTAATATATAATTTATCAGTTTTTGAAAAGAATTTCTTTTTCTTTTCTTTTAATGACACAATGCACTTAGTTTTGACATAGTTCATAATATTTTATAAGTATAGACAATTTTAAAGCGTAATTTGATACATTATCAAATGATGAAATGGATACATATTTAGAAGATTTATCATCAATATAGTGTGTTAATTTTAGGGCTTTTTATTTCTGTCAATTTTCTATTTTTCACCATTCTTTTTATTTGCTTTGATATTACAGTTTCAAAACTAATACATTGGTTGTATATTACTCTTTTCATTTTAATTAGTACTTTATATCGTTTGTCGGCTTTTCTTTTCTAAAAATTGCTATGGTTTTTGTAATATGAGGTGCAAATCCAGCTATTACATAATAAAACTATAAATATAGTCACCAAATAGAACACGTTTCTTAATATTATGTTTGGGTTTTTGTTTTTGTTTTTTGGAGAAACAGGTCGAAAAGGGCTGCAGTACTGGGGATAACCATAAGATGGAAGGAAACAATATTGAAAATTCTAACTCTTTGCTGCCATCTAGAGGTCACATGGACACGTACCTCCAATATTTTGCAGCCCGGAGCATGCAAACTTTTAATTGAACACCTGGAAGACTTCAAACTGTGTAACCTCCCAGTGCAACCTCCCTGACTTAAATGCGTTCAATGGAAACTTTGCAGAAAAACTGTACTTTCATTTGAGTACATAAGAGTACAATTCTATATGATCCAGGATATACATATATGACTTGTTAAACTCAAAGAAAATGTGGAAAACTAGATTGGTCTTCAAGCCCAAAGCAATTAAAGCATGGGTTATAAGACATGGTAACATGGGTTGAATTGTAAATTGGCTCCATTCTGGATTCAAGTGAAAAACCAAGTAAGAGTCAGTAAGATACTTGTGCAGTATGTCCTTTAAACATTTCATGACACAAAGCATCTGTTGAGATACAATTCTAGAAGGTGGAAAGAATCATAGGAACTGTCTAGTGGTGGATTCCTATTGGTTCGGCTGAACCAGTAGTAGCTTGGAGGCCTGGGTCGCTGGGATCAGCATGACCCAGGCCTGCCACCCCCCTGAACTGGTTCTCCTGGTGGCGCCATAGGCACCACCATCTTGTTTTTTGCTTCTTAAAACTGTGCAGAGCAATTTTAGTTGTACTGTGCATGTGTGCGCAGCATGCATCGAGTGCGGCACATCCCTGAGCGAACCGGCTGTAGTGTCTGCCGGAACCCACCCCTAGAACTCTCTATCCTAAAGGAATACGAAGGCAGCCTCAAAAAAAAAAATCATACAATAATGAATTATATTGTATAATCTGGAGGTACTACTTTCCATTTTAATTATGTTATTCTGCTTCTCCAGATAATTTTTTTTTAAAAGCCACATGTGTGCTACATCTTCTGAATCTTAATCTTGAATATATATTCAAGATGTATCATCACGTTTATTCATGTTGTGGGGGTGTTTCTTTATTTCGATAGTTTCCATAATTATTCTCTTGTTGAAGTGTTTACTTCTGGACCTGGTTCCTTCAAAACTAATGCCTTAGATACATCTGAACACAAACCCAAACTCTGGTTTAAATATGTTGATGATGTATATATTAGATGTTTTGTCAAGGCACCTGGTATGCCCAAATACAGGAGGGAGCATACTGCTTCCCTTTTGCCCTTCAGCTCCTTCCAGGCCGAAACTATTTTGTATTGCATTTTTTTTTTGCCTGACAAATAAATGAAGGGAGACTAGTATAGTTCTAATTATACCCCTGGCTCAGCTGATAAGGGTATGGCTAGCTGATGAGAGCTAAAAAGCTTGAAATAGATCTATACTAGTCTCCCTTCATTTATGTATGAGCCCAATATACATATACATATACACACACATGTATGTGTGTTAAATACACACACACACACACACACACACAAACACACACACAAACACACACACAAACACACACACAAACACACAC